TTGAAGGGTATTAGGAAAACCATTTAAAAATGTACATGGCTTCATAATTTGGTGTGTGATTATAATCAATTAATCATGTCCTAATATTAGGGGTTGTTGCACTTCAAACTACAAATTAATATGTTGTGATTTTTAATTTTTAGTTTTACTTTTAAAAAATTTCAAAAAAAAAATCTTACCAACGTCATTTATATTGATAAATAACACCCCGTTGGAAATGAAAAATTACACAGTAATTACTCATAACAACAAAGAAAACTAAATGTTACACAAAAAAAAAAAAAAAAACAACAAAGAAAACTAGTTCGAATGAGAAAATTAAAACACATCATTCCCAACTTACGCAGTACTAATTACTGGGGTTCTGTTGTGAACCTCTCTCCCTCACAATTCTGATATAGGCCACCAATTTGTCTCGATCCGGAAGATTTTCTTGGATCACAGGAACTTTCATGAAATTCTCAGCCCATTCATAGAGTCGAGGTAAAGTGTTTGAGTCCAGCAATTTCACGCCCATAACAATTTCAACATTCTTGAACCAATAACCCACCAACCCATAAGTAATATCCACCATGTTTATAGCATCACCACCGAAGAACTTTTTGTCCCCAAGAGCCTTCTCCTCCAAAGTCTTCAGCCTTTCCACCACTTCTTTTGCGCCCTTTTCTCGTTCTTCTTCATCTGTTGACCTGATTATTGCCCGGAAAGAAGTAACCTGTATTTTTAAAAATAATAATAATAGTACATAGAGTTAAAAAAAAAAAGAAATTAAAAGAATTATTATAAATATATTTTATAATTTAAATTACACAGTACAATAAAAATTATAAAACAATAAACTCTTAAGCGTGGGTATGTAATGATTGTTTTACCTTTAATAATCACAAGAAATTCTCTTTTTTATTAGGGGTAAAAGAGTCATTTAATAACCAAATTCTTTTCTTTTCTTTTCTTTTTTTTCCATCAAACTTGTGCCCAATTTGAAGTGAAACTCAGGAAAAATTTAATGGAGAATAAAAATGGATAAAATTACCATGGTTTCCGCAAATTTGATCCAGAACCGAGCCAAAGCTTTCTCATAAGGATCGGTGGGTAGGAGCGGATTCTGGGGCCAGGTATCTTCGATGTACTCAAGGATGATGAGGGACTCGGCGATGGGCTTGCCGCCATGGACGAGGACTGGGATCTTCTTGTAAACAGGATTATACTTGAGCAGCAATTCGCTCTTGTTGTGGGGAAGGTCTTCTTCTATGTAGTCATAATCGACACCTTTGATTTTGAGTGCCCAGATGACTCTGTGACTGAATGGGCTAGGCCAGAACCCATGTAGCTTCACCTCATCTGCCATTGTTGTGAATTGCGAGGATAAAGATGCAAGATCCGGTTGCTCTGTATATGTTAATTTATATTTGATGAGAGGGGATTTTGACTTGGAGAATAAGCCACTAGTTTGAAGAGTTATTTGAAGGGTCCCACTTTGTTCAGTTTGTTCTTTTTTTATTATTTTTTAGTTTGTATAATTTATATTCTTAAAAACAATTTTATTTTTATATTAGTTGCACAACAAAAAAATAATTTTTTTTATTTTATATTTTTCTTCATTTATAAATAATACGATTTAAATTTAAAATGTTTTATTTTTAATGAAAAAAATTATCATTAAATTACTTAAATCATTGATTTTAAAATTTTTAATTAAAGTATATAAATATATTTTTTATTATAAATTTATATTAAAAAATAAAACTTAACTTTTAATTTATTAATTATTTAATTAAATTCATTTGATATTAAATTAATATCAATTTTTATGTTATATATATATTTATAATAAAAAATACAAATTAAAATACAAATTAAAATTTTTTTTCTTACAATAATAATTCCACACCACAAATGTCGATTTATTTTTTCCATTTTCCAAGTTCGTCTATCTGATAATTCTGGAAGATCTACCCAATCAATTGCGGGTCAAAATAAAAAGTTGAGCAAGGGCCTGGCTTGTTGGGCATCACTTTCTCACAACAAATACCGTAAAAATCAACATTTAACCCCTCATTTTATAAAATTAATAAATTTTAATTTTTTATTTTATTAACAATTTTAATTTTTTATCTTATAAAATTAGTAAGTTTTAATCCCTCACCTTACAAAATTAGTAAGTTTTAACTTCTTACCTCATATTAGGATATTTTTAGCCCCTCATCGATACAAATTAAAGAAAATAACCCTCACATAATATCGGGTTATAACGTTCTATTAGTTGACTGTTAACATTCGTTAGCATTTCGTTATAAAAAACATGAAATTTAAATTTTATTTTATTTATTAGTTCCATTAACAGAATACTAACGAATGCTAATAGTCAACTAACAGAACTAATAGTAAACTAACAAAATTGACAATCAACTAACAGAACTAATAAAACATTACAATCTGATGTTAACTATAAGATATTTTTTTTAATTCGTATAGATAAGGGGTTAAAAGTGTCATAATATAAAGTGATGAGCTAAAATTTATTAATTTTGTAAGATGAAAGGTTAAAATTTATCAATTTTATAAAGTAAATGGTTAAAAATGTCATATTATAAAGTTAGAAGCTAAAACTTATCAATTTTGTAAGATAAAAAAATAAAAGTTAGTTTTAACCCAACAAATACAGACTAGACTTTCTTAAGTCTCATTGACATTAATAAAATATGGTGTGATTATAATTATTTTTTTAATAAAATATTTGATAAGAGGAAAATATATTTTAATCAAATTATAATATTTTTAGATATTATAATTTAATTAATAAAAAATATTT